AAATGGAAAAAAAGCACTTTACAGAAATAGATATGATACGAAAAAAAGATCTTGAAAATCAACTCGATAATTATTATGAAAACAAGGCAAAAGGAGCGCAAATTCGATCAAGAGCAAGATGGATAGATGAGGGTGAAAAAAATACAGCATACTTTTTAAGGCTCGAAAATAAACATCAATCACATAACGTTATAAACAGAATCAGAGTCAATGAAAAAATCCTTATCAAGACCGACGATATACTTAATCAACTATGTTTATTTTATGAAAACTTGTATTCATCTCAGAAAATTACAGTTGAAAGAATAAATAATTACCTACGCGATATTGAAATGCAAACTAAGCTTACTGATGACGAGAAAGATTTTTTTGACAAATTTCCTACATTAAAAGAATGTTCCGAGGCAGTATTTGAAATGAAAAACAACAAATCCCCTGGACTCGACGGCTTACCGGTTGAGTTTTACAAAATGTTTTGGAAACATTAAAAACAATATATGTATGATGCGCTTATTAAATCTTACGAAGAACAAGAATTAACAAATACACAAAAATGTTCCGTTTTGTCTTTAATTCACAAGAAAGGTGATCTTGATAATCCTCAAAATTACCGTCCCATAAGTTTAACAAATTGCGACTACAAAATTATAGCCTGCGTCTTTTCTCGGCGTTTAAAAAAATTTATAAATAAATTAATTAACCCGGATCAGTCTGGGTATATAAAAGGACGATATATAGGTAGTAATGCCAGACTTATTTCAGATATCTTTGAATACTGGGAAAGAAACAATGAATCGGGTATACTGTTATTTGCTGACTTTCAGAAAGCGTTTGACTCAGTTGAGTGGGAATTTCTGTTTCAATCAATGAAGAAGTTTAACTTCTGCGACAACTTTGTCAGATGGATCAAAATCTTATATACAAACCCTTACTTTCACATAAAAAATAATGGCTGGATTTCTAGAAAATGTCAGATGAATAGAGGCATCAGACAGGGGTGTCCTGTCTCAGCTATATTATTTCTATTCGTAATGGAAATTTTATCTTCAAAGGTAAATAAATCAGATAATGTTCAAGGTTTTAAAATATGTAATACGCAAAAGGAAATAAAATGCATACAGCATGCGGATGATAGTACTTTTCCAGTTAAAGATGAAGAATCTCTTAAACATGTAATTAAAATCATTGAGGATTTCGGGTCGATATCCGGTACAAAGTTGAATCTATCAAAAACAGAGTGTATTCTATTGGGAGAAATTAAACAAGACATGGAAGGGGAGGCATCTCTACATGGTGTCAGAATTAACTCTAAAACAATAAAATGCCTCGGCATATACATCGGACATGACGAAGCAGAAAGAAATGAGAAAAACTGGCTATGCAAATTAAGAGAATTTGAAAAAATACTTGACTCTTGGTGAAGCAGAAAACTAACTATTTTTGGAAAATGTCAGATTATAAATTCTCTATTAATCTCAAAAATATTATACACGCTTCAATATTAGAGAATCCAGAGCAATCTTTCATCAAAAGTCTAAACAAAATAATATTCTCCTTCATTTGGGGTAACCGTGAAAGAATTAAACCCAAAACCTTAATAAGAAGCATAAACGAAGGCGGAATCGGTATCACTGACTTTGAGTCTAAAGTCAAAGCTATTAAAGCCTCATGGGTTACAAAGATTATGAAAGATAAAAGCAGTCTACTCTCTCTCGTAAATGCTATTTTGTACAAAAATAATATAGATTTTGCGTTTTTAACAAATTCAAGTGTAACAAATTACAATGATCTCATACAAAACTCCCTTCCTGAGTTTTATATAGAGGTCATCTTGGCTTTTAATGAATGTAAGAATAATACTTTTTCAAATCTTTCAAATCAGAATATTTGGCTTAATAAAAACATTTGCTTTAAAGGTAAGCCACTATTCTTTCCGAATTGGACCAAAGGGGGTCTTTTGTTAGTAAAAGACCTTTTTAATGACAATGGTTTCAAAACTGTAAATGAAATTAAAGAAAAATTAGCATCCACTAATAATTTCCTTTGTGAATATCTAATGGTAAAGACCGCCTTAAAGAAACACTATTCACGCATAAATATGTAAACTATAAACTTCGTAAACACAAACGCTAATCAACAATTCTATTTTAACGGAAAATTTGAAGATATTTCTAATAAAAAATCTTGTTTTTTCGACAACATTTTAATAAAAAAGAAATCGCACAAGCCAAACATGGAAAATATCTGGTGTAGAGAATTCCAAATAGATAAGAGTCATTTCGATACTATATATGAAAATAAAGTTCGCTCATTATTTGATAAATCTGTATCAGAATTTAGTTATAAGCTACTACATAATCTGTTGACTACAAATCTATCCGTTAGTAAGTGGGATAAAAACAACAGTGGCAACTGTGATTTCTGCGATACACAAGAAAATATCAAACATTTGATTTTCGAATGTGACTTGATAAAGCCAATCTGGAGTAAAATTTCTCAACTAATAGAGATAGATATTAAATGGAAAATGATTGTTATCGGCTTTATTATTTTCAACAACAAATACACTTTTATTTTAGATAATACATTGTCATTCTTGGCGTGTAAAATTTACAAATATAAAATGAAATGTAGAATTGTTAAAGACCAGGTTACATATGAAGGAGTGTGTCGTTTTTAAAAAACGCGCTGATGCAATTGTATTTTACTATTAAAAAGACAAAATGTTTAAATTCAGATTTTAAAATTCTTGAACTGTTGTCACAAAAGTTATAATAATATGTATATTAATTGTATTAATTTTATATGTACGAGAGATGAACTGGCCTTCTGCTTGTACATCCATGTGGCAGGATAAAATGGACTGTGAAGGTGAACTGTAAAAGCTAGTCCTGCCGCATGATATTACTGTCAACTATTCTGCAAATTTTTTGTATATTCTACTATGACCTTATATTTGGTTTTATAAACATGATGTCACTGCTGTATATTTTCGAAGCAGCTAATTATCGTCTATTGAATTGTATAATAATGATGCTACTTTCTACTAAAATCATACACTATATTATATAAGTTTATGCTTGATATATTTATTCAACAAAATTATTCTTGATTTACCTATTATACATGAATAAAATTTGTTACCGATCCAGGGAGCCCCTGGCACCCCAGGTGAGGTATATGATGAGGGCCTCGGCGGAGGTGATGCCTCAAATAAGAAACTATGTATGTATTTGAAATAAAATCTTTTATTCAAAAAAAAAAAAAAAAACAAAAAACAAAAAAAAAAACTGTGTTGCAAAGTTTACGCGAAGCACTAAATTTTTGCTGTATTTTCGCGATCAAATTTGCAAATGAATCACTTTTCATTATAATTTCAAAAGAATAAATGCATACACTTTTTTAAAATAACTAATTTGTTACAGAAATGGTACGGTCGTACTTATTGATAAAAGTAAAAACACATGTTCTGAAAAGCAGAGGAAATTCCGGTCGAAACATTCGAACTACTTACCATTTTTGAAAAGAAATTTGCCGTGATATTTTGTCAGTTTTCTTGATGGAATTAACGAATTACAAAAAAGAAACCAGAATACTTTTAAAAATTCCTTGAAAATTTAAAATATAAAATGATTTCGATACGATGTTATGCTTGAAATACAGTGCCAACATAATTCTAGAGTTGTGACCCTAAACAGGACATATTAAGATATTTTTTGAAATAATACAATGTATTTCTAATGCATCTACTAATTAACCGTTACACCGTTAACCGATTGAAAAAAAATTCTTTGTTCCTTCATGCGTACATTTCGGCGAGGGTCTAGGGGATAATTGTTCATGCAATTACCCCTTTCGGTCAATACAACTTTCAGTTAGAACTTTGTTTCAAATAAATCCCATACATATTATCACATTTGTTTTTCAAAGACACAGATTTCAAAATTTTATATTTTGTACAGGATCTTCTTTCTTTCGACATGTAAGCATCAATCGTGCGACGTTTTCAATATTAATGCATCATCAGTTTTGATATTAATCATTCATACAGTTTCACAGGAATTATCTCAAAGTTTTGTCAAAAATGATAATCAAATGCAATAAATAGAACATCTATAATTGTGTGACTTAATATTTGCTTTATCCAACGTTTTGCAATTGTTTACATTCGTTCGGCAAGCGAATATAATCCATTTCAACTTGTGAATAAAGCAATATTAAAATAAATAAATAAATACTATATATAGGGTTATTTTCGCCCTTTCACAGTTGGGAACAAGTTTGCCCTGTTTTAAATTCGCCCAGAAAGATTTTTGTTTAAGAAATTATACTTTTTACTTTGAATTCGTCCCGTTTTAAATTCGCCCATTGCCAACGAGGGCGAAAGGGGCGAAAATTAAACGAGGGCGAAAATTTCCATGTATACAGTATATAAAACCACACAAAATAGAAATCCTGTATGTTTCCGCTGAACGCCTACTGAAAGGTACATGAGTTTGTGTCTGAAATGTCATAAAAAGGTACCTGCCTTTATATGACTGAATACCCAATGAAAGTCAGCGCAGGCCGCCTTTCAGTTTTAACTATTAAGACTTGTTTCTTCTTGTGATCATCTTTTTATTTACTGAGGTCCGTATGTACGTACATTTAATTTACATGTTTTTCACGTTTGAGATCAATATTTATGTTCGGCTAATTAATTATATTCATTACTTGAAAAATATTGGTATGTATAACTACATGCACGCACTATGTTATCATCTATTGTTCCAGCCCAGAGAAGGTGGGTTCTGGTGTCATATCATAGGGCCTGTGCTGTATCTATCTTGTTCTTTTCGTTAACCAACATTAAAAAGTCGCCGTCTTTGTCGATCATCTGAATTGAGTGGCTTCTAGCATCAGACACCAAAATGTGTGATAGTCCATCTACACAGATTCCTTGAGGTGAAAATTGCAGTTCTGTTCGATGTACGATGTTTGAAAGGAAATTTCCTCCAGGATTACCTGATAATTGCTTTTCTTGTGTACGTAAAGCATTGTTTTCCTCCAGATAGTGATAATTCCGGTTCAGTTGGGGGTCCTGTGTAAGAAAAACGATGTATTCCTTCAGGATTTGTCACCACAACAGCATGTTTGTATAAATCAGACACAATAACATCTCCATTATGGTTTTCTGTGATGTATCTAGGAAATTTGTAAAGTTTTCGACCCTTATCGTTATATATTGTCTCAATTTCCTGTCCTTCACTGCTATACCGCATTACTTTAGCATCCGAATAATCAGGTTTATTTCTTTCATATCTTCTCATCCCAACAAGAAGATCTGCATTGAACGGGGAGCAGTGGACACATTTTGCTTCCCATGATTCTGTATTCTTTAGTAGTCTTTTGTGTGTTTTCTTGTCGGTGGACAATTTGTTTATGTTATGATATTTGTCAACATAAATCAGGTTCCCCTCACGATTCACACAGTGTCCACCAGTACGACTACCTGTATCTGCCAGAATGTGTAAACGGGTACCTTTTTTGTTTGTCAGGATAGTATGTCCACTTGAATCACTAATCCATACCATGTCAGTAGTCACAAAGGAAATGTGATAAACCTCTCTTACATCTTCTACTTTTAAATACTCATGAAAAACGCCTGGTGACAGTTGGTTCTCAATTCGTATTTTTCTTTTCCCTGCGGCTATGCATTGGATCTCTTCTAGTAACTTCATTTCATCTGCGATGTTGATTTCATTATTCAATAAGAAGGAAATGGCAGGTGGAATGCTCTTTACCCTTGGAGTTGGATTTTTCTTTATATATAAAATGAATTATATCGGTTTGTCAAAGAGATGCTCTAATTTGCGTGTAAAAGTTTCTAGTTTGATAATGTTTCTTTTTGGTTCTTGCCATCTATGTTTCAGTGAAAGTTTCAATATACTGATATAATCCGTAATTGCTAAATCGGTCAGAGTCTTCAGTCTCCTACTTCTTCTTGAAATTCTTTGCTTGAGATCAGCTAATTTTAATCACACACCTCTTTCGAAATCAGATTTAATACCTTAAAGAATATCTTGGTTTTTTGGGATAAGGTCAGATCTGATCTTAATAAAATTGTCCTTGAAATTTTGTCTGCTCATTATATAAGCCGAAACAATGTCCCGAATTTCATGTTTTTCGTGCTTATCACACTTGGCACAGAATGGACAATCACATGACAAACACCACTTTTTAAAGTAATTTGTTTGGTGCCTGTCACAAGACTCTGGTATCATGGAATCCTCTGACGTAAAATAGCCTATATCCACGTCGTGGTATTCGGTGTATGGGACTTTTACATGTCTTTCCCTGCAACGAATACAGAAATTTATTCCACTATTTTCGCACTACAATGAAAACACATTGTATTGTCAAGTGGTACATACTGGAAAGCATTTCTTTTCATGATTTACTGTAAAAGTAAAATATGTTCCTTGTTTACTGAGTTAAGAAATTCTTCTCTTGAATTTAGTTGCAATCTAAAGATATAAAAAAAAAAATCAGAATTTTAATTTTTTGATCTTATTTCATAACATGATGTTGATCAGATAAGCATACTGAAATACTTTTTTAATCGAAAAAAATAAACATATGCCAACAAATCAGTTTAAACACACACATGTCCTTAGAAGTTGAAAATAAAAAAAAAGATGCTGAGGTTTCTTATTGACATCATTTTAGTAGCGATTGGAAACTGAGTCTTCTAACAAAACAATTGGAATTCCGTGCAGCACAGTTAAGGTTACAAATGGAAATATCGGTAATTTTTAAGATAAAAAATACATACTTTAAAAGGGTGGGCAATATTCTTTCGGACTTCAATGATAAAAAAAAAAGTAATGAGGTTTAAATCTACATGTTGAGGACATCTAGATTTTTTTTAAATTTAGACTTATCACGTGATGTCGAAATCACACGATTTTAGCTATTATACTTGCAGTTTAGAGGTCACCTATAAATTCCAATATTGCAAGGGCGTAACCAAGTTTAAATTCTCAGTTTAATTTATTATCCTTTTCAACACTATATGTAGTTTGTGAAAAGTGCTGCGAACCTACACAGATTCCACAGCTTAATTGAAAAATATTAATTTGTTGGACGGCAGGTTTAATGTCTTGCTGGTCAACTACATTAAATATAGCTAAAATTGATTTATTTGCAAGATTTCCTGAGGTTCGCAGCACTTTTTAAATACCTCAATGCTTCTTGAGTTTATGTGTCAAAACTTGATAGGATATATTGAGGGTATGCCCTTCCAATAAAGCGATTTATTAGGGCGCATCTATTACTTTTCTAATGAATCTGCATACAAACACACGACAGTGTCAATTGTCTGGAGAATATATGGACAGTTTATAAATAAAATGGTAAAATAGACATCGCATCCAAGTTAACGGCCTATTACTGTGAAATTACAAATTTTCTTGGGGGTTTAATTTTCGTTGTTTTCGAGGTACATATGTATGACGAGATCCGCGAAATTCATGTCCACCACGAAATATAAAATGTTACATACATAAGTACTCATTAATTCTTGATCCATGAAATCAAATCCCTAAGAAAAATAAATATTCCTCAAACCACGAAAATTTGACCCAACGAAAATTTTTCGTTGTACAAAATGTGACTTGATTAGTCTCTCACTGTGTACAAACTGCGTCATTTTTGCGAGATAACGTCACATTGACAATTGCATTGCGATCGATACATCGTTTATATACTGTGGTGTGGGATTTAACAAACGACAAAACTGCATATAATAGTAAGTTGTATGTAATATAGCTATCCAGCAAATTGAAATAGAAAAAAAAGAATTCATTTTGTGGTATTTTGAAGACCTTATATTTTGTGTTACGTCAAAGTAAGCATTTTCCGTATAAATTAGGCCCCGCATCCTTACTGTAACCTTAACTGTGCTGCGCGATGCACTCATTGTATTCCTTTATAAATAAATTATTTTTATATTCCTTTAAGGACACATGAAACGCACAAACTTTTTTCAAAAAATTGAAAATAGCTACATGAGTCGTGTTATAATGGGTTAAATGATCAGGTTTTACCGCGTAGATTTTAATTTTGTTTTCTCAAATTTTCACTAAAATTGGATTTGAAGTGAAAAATATTGATATTGATAAATAAGAATGGATTAAAAATGGCAGAATTTGAACATCACAGAGGGTTTACATTTTTTTTAATAGTTTTATTATTTGCATGAAGGATATGGAGATAACGAACAACATTCAATATCAAAGTCCAAAATTATAACAATTCCAAATAGGAGCAGAGCAAACAAGGACCTCCAAAACGTAAGTACCAAACAATTAAGAAATACTAGTAATGGTTTTATAAACTAAAAAAACACATTGCTACATTGATAAATTGATCAGTTGCACAGATTAGTTTAAAATATATCTCTTTCCTTGAATTGGATTGAACAGAAGGCATAAGTTGATAGATTATCCATTGGTACATATTTAGAATGATTTCAGAGAGAGAGAGAGAGAGAGAGAGAGAGAGAGAGATAGAGAGAGAGAGAGAGAGAGAGAGAGAGAGACAGAGTAAAACAAATGAATAGGAAAATAATTTAACAAATGAATAAAAAATCCTCAGATTGTGTTCAATTATATGAAAAAAAAATTGAGCTGATTACACAAGCCTTTTAGAAATTATACGAATTTTTGTTTATTACAGAAAAATATTGAGGGCTCTATCACGGATCTCAAGTGCCGCCGAAGTATGGAAAATATCCTGTTGTTTTATGGGCTAACAGAGTATAATGGAAATAGGAGGTAGAATTGTTTGAGACTGATAAACGATTTATGTGAAACAGAATTGGAAACCCCAAATGTCAGACAACGCATAAAAAGAGCGCACGAGATTGGACGGCTTAAGCGAGAAAATACAAACCTAATACATGCAGCTTAGTGCAAGAAAATTTTAAGATATTATCTTGGTACATAAATGGCGGTTTTCCAATAGATTTGAAGACAGAAGTTTCCAATGAATTCCATCTTGTTTTAGTTTGTCCCCTATATACAAGAACTTGAGAAGTAAATGTCTTAAAAGTAATTACTGGAAAAAAAAACATCCGCATTCAAACTAGTATAATTATTAAGTCTACAAAACTTGTCTGACCTTTATAATTTCGGTAAATGTTTGCATTTTTTAAAGCTAAGAAATGAAAGATGTTTTGATTCACTCTTTGTATGTCCTATTTTTATATCTGTATATTTGCATTTATTATATGTGTTTCAATCTTTTTCATGTATAGAAGCGACATACCAAGCAAATTCTTTCTATAAACTAGGCGTTGGTTTTTAATATATGTATAGAAGCGCCATGTAATAAGGACATCCAGTGGATGGCCGACTACGTGCTGTGACAACCCATGCTCCTCAAGTGTGAGTAAATTTCCTTCACTATCATTTAAATTGTCAATGAGAAAATTTAGGACTTAGTATTATCCATACGTCTTCCGAAATTATGACAAGATTGTCTAGACAATGAGTACATTTTTTCGAAGAAACAGTGTGTTTGAAACAGTTAGTCTTTGAAGGTGGTGGTCGGAAAATAATACAAATGCGAACATGTTGATTCCCCACATCGACACTACACTCCAGATATTCTAAATGGGTGGAACGAGTGTCAGATTCTTTGTGTTCAATGTTAATTTGATCTTTATGTCACCTTTAGTCGTGGCTTTTGAAGTATATTATATCCATCTGGTGTAAGCTCCGAGGATATAACTCGATCGGAGTCTGGTCGCAGCCATGTTTCTGTCAGGGAAAGTATGTCAACTTTGTTGTATAAAATTAAGTCACTAATCGATGTTGTTTTTTAACGATCTACAGGGACTTCTCTGTGACTGCTTTGTTTCAGGTTGGGTCTGGTTGGTATTGTATCTTTCAGTTGATAATTATGATAATAACTAGATATGAAACTCGTTGCGAGCAAGGAGTTGTCTTAAGTCCGATTTCGAAAAAAAAAAAAACGTATAATCGAGCTGAAAAAGTAAATAAAAATTGTACTCAAGTGGAATCATATTGACCACGAATTTCCTAAAGATACCGGCACTAATATTTTATCACTCTACTTGTTGTCGCTGCATGCTAATTCTCATGCACGGGGATTGTTTATACCGTCCATTCTGACTTTGTGATCAGAATATGAATTTCTCAATACTAAAATATAATATAATATAAGTTGCTAGTCATCTGCATATTCCAAATGTCAAGTTATTTATACTCGTATTGCAAACGTGACTACGTTCAACAAATGACGTGGTATAGATATAATTAACGCCATAAACGCAACATTTTAACAATATAAAGCAAACTTTGAAATTATTTTGCAAAAAAAATCTAGCGAGAAGACATTTTGTTTTGTTTTTTTATCAATGGTTTTGATTTTACCTCATCTTGATATTTTGAAATTCCATACTAATACGTCTACGTATTTAAAAAAGGTAGCCAACCTTTTTAAAAGAAACTACATGTATTTTAACAGAATTGGCTTTAAAACGTCATTTTTATCTATATTTCCATAGTAAAGCGTAAACAGAAAGTACAAACAACTACAAAGGCAAATTTAATTAAAATTGCAGTTAATACGCTGTTAATTCTAAGGAACAAAATGTCAAATTTTCGAGATATGTCTTCTCGTAAGAATTTTTATAGAGAAAATCCGCGACCTA